CCCTGGGCAGCCCATTCCAGTGCCTAACAACCCTTTCAGTAAAGAAATTCTTCCTAACATCTAACCTAAAACTCCCCTGGCGCAACTTTAGCCCATTCCCCCTCGTCCTGTCACCAGGCACATGGGAGAACAGGCCAACCCCCACCTCACTACAGCCTCCTTTAAGGTATCTGTAGAGTGCGATAAGGTCGCCTCCTCTTCTCCAGGCTGAACAAGCCCAGCTCCTTCAGCCGCTCCTCATAGGACATGTTCTCCAGGCCCCTCACCAGCTTCGTCGCCCTTCTTTGGACCCGCTCTAGCACCTCCATGTCCTTCTTGTAGCGAGGGGCCCAAAACTGAACACAGTACTCGAGGTGCAGCCTCACCAGAGCCAAGTACAGGGGGACGATCACCTCCCTAGCCCTGCTGGTCACACTGTTTTTGATACAAGCCAGGATGCCGTTGGCCTTCTTGGCCACCTGAGCACACTGCTGGCTCATATTCAGCCGACTGTCCACCATCACTCCCAGGTCCTTCTCTGCCTGGCAGCTCTCCAACCATTCCTCTCCCAGCCTGTAGCTCTGCTTGGGGTTATTGCGCCCCAGGTGCAGGACCCGGCACTTGGCCTTGTTAAACTTCATGCAGTTGACTTCAGCCCATCGGTGCAGCCTATCCAGATCCTCCTGCAGAGCCTTCCTACCCTCGAGCAGATCGACACACGCACCTAGCTTGGTGTCATCTGCGAACTTACTGAGGGTGCACTCAATGCCGTCGTCCAGATCATTGATGAAGATGTTAAAGAGGACCGGCCCCAGCACCGAGCCCTGGGGGATGCCACTAGAGACTGGCCTCCAACTGGACTTGACTCCATTTACCACAACTCTTTGGGCCCAGCTATCCAGCCAGTTTCTAACCCAACGAAGCGTGCGCCAGTCCAAGCCAAGAGCAGCCAGTTTCTTGAGGAGAATGCTGTGGGAGACGGTGTCAAAAGCCTTGCTGAAGTCAAGGTAGACCACATCCACAGCCTTTCCCTCGTCTACCCAGCGCGTCACTTTGTTGTAGAAGGAGATCAGGTTCGTCAAGCAGGATCTGGCTTCCATAAACCCATGCTGACTGGGCCTGATCGCCTGCTTGCCCTTCAAGTGCCGCATGATGACTCCCAAGAGGATCTGCTCCATGAGCTTCCCTGGTATGCTTTGTTATGCTTTGTTGTTGCTGTGGCTACCAGCAACGTACTTTGTCTCGCTGCTGGCACTTTCATTTCTTTATACATGCAACAGCACAAACACAACAGCATTACACATGCGCAAAACATACACATATGTCTATCAGAAAGAGCATGACCCTACCTTTAATATTTTTCATTATCCAGTTAGGCAGAGAAAACATCACAAGAAAAGATTTCAAATGACTCCCACTTCTGGAACTTCATCTAAGCCATTAAACTGTTATCACGATTCAGCTTTCAAAATACCCTTCAGTCACCTATATTGATAAATCCTGCACCACCCACCTCTGTGTCTGGTTATTATGCCATTGAAAGGAGGCATAATAACCAGAACCAAGAAACATTTACATACTCTCATAGGACTCAGATCTAGGTAGGGCTGTTAACAACACCAGCTTCACTCCCAACAAAACTTACTTTCAGTGAAAGCATCATTCCTCAAGTGTTGCAACAGAGTCCCATAGAGACTACGTCAATATCAGCTAGTCTATTCCAGCAAAATAAAAAGCTGCAAAAATATCCCAAGAGAGAAAGAATACCCCTCTGCTTTAAACCTTATGTGACCAACTCTTTTCCAGTGGGCTCTAATAAACTTAGGTGGTTTCCATTTAACAATTTAAGTGGATACAAATTACTTTTTTCTTTCCAGGTGGCTGTTGGTTTCAGGTGAGAAAAAAAAAAAAAAAAAAAAAAAAAAAAAAGTGAAAGCAAGCCCCCATCAAGCAAGTCTCTAAAATCCTCGTTTTCCTAACTCCCTCTCCTTTGGAATCCGTGATTTTGTTTTGTTTCATTTTGCTTTTTAACTGGAGGTTTCACTGAGGAACAAGCTGTAGTTTCTTTGGCATATAAAAATGTGCTTATGTAAAATGGTGTAGTAATGATCTTTCTCAGCCTGGCACTTAACTCATTCAGATCTATAAATCACTCTGAGATACTTAGTCTAATGCAAGATAATAACTCAAAATAGAATTCTCGTTTAATTTCACTGCAATTAAACCAAATAACACACAATATATCTTTTTTTGATGTAACTCTCAAGTTTATCCACCTTCACCAGTATTTGTATCGCTCTCTGCCTTAACGCAGGCCTGATCCTGTGGCAGTAGAGATTTAAACAAGATTCCAAGATTCTGCTTTCAGAGAAACAGCAGAAATAGGTTCTTTTTTGAAGTCTCCTTTCATCATTATGGTTATCCAATGACATGTTTTCCCAGAATTTCCTCTTCATAACCACTACGACTTCCAGAGCTATAAACTTTAACCCACCTCTCTGCATCCCTGCTCCCCCCCTTCCTTCCTTTGCAATACATTTTCATTTCCATTTGCAGCTCAGGGCAAATGTCTTTCCCATTGAACGCATAGACAATGTAGAGATTTTATAGACCACCGCCTTTAGAGAAATAGTCAGAAATCAATCAACAGTAATGAGAAGAATACATCAGGACAAAATGGAGTTTTCAAAAATATGCTTTCTGAATTATCTTCTCTCATAAAAACTCACTGTGTTATGCAGACAATATGATCCATATTATAAGTTACGGAAACAAACTGATACTTAGGTCCAAAGTTGACTGAATGCAACTTCACTGAAGAATATAGATGACCTAGGTTATAAAAGCAATAATAATAAATGCAGTACAATACTATTCTTCCTAGAATACAGACAGCACTTTCCTACTGAGTACATTTGTACTGTTTGTAGCTGTTGTGACATGGTCAAGCACCTAATTACAAGATTTTTCCACGAGAGGAAAGATGCTTACTTCTTGTGCACATGCAGCCAGTATTGTATTCTGATAATCATCCTAATCTCTGAAGCATAAGTGTTACATATGTAGGTATACAATATGCCAGATAGCACTTAAAGAACCACAGGCCTATTTTAGCAAAGTCTGGAACATATTATTGCAAATACATACATATTTATCTTAGAGATAAGTGAGCAATTCACAGAAGATAATTTACCAGCTGCTCTTTTTCTTCTGACAATGGACTGCAATTTCCAGGAAGGTGTTTTATTTGATCTCTCTCATATTTTTAATGAACAGGACAACAACTGCTAGAGTATTTAGGGGTCAGATTTCAAAATGAGAACTGTCTTGGTCAGCTGCAAGATTACATATGCAGTTTCTGGTGTACCTATTGTTCCCTGATTAGAAAATCACGATTTTATAATCAGGAGGAAATATTAACAGAAAAAATATGGTTTGGGATGTCACAGACCGAAGTTCCTTGAAGTTTAAGGGGAAATTGATGGATGAGCAGAGTAACAAAAATTTGGAAATTGTTTACCTTTCTGTTTTCTGAAACGCATAGGCCTTTGCCTTAAACATTATTATAATTGAGAAAGAAAAAATTGTTTTAGCCTTCTAAATCTTTTCAGTTAACATTCAGAGAGATAACTGCATAGGTATTGTTTGGACTGTGATTTTTAAAAAATGTAAACAGCCAATTCCATAGGAACATCCAGGACACAAAAAGTGAAGAAGCACACGTGTAAATTTTAGTCTTAGATACCACAGTATTGCTGTGAGATTATGATGTAAGAATACCCCTCCCGGGCCCTTCTGAATGAACCTCTAGCTCAGTGGGCTCTGACCCGAGCGGGGAGGTGGGAATGGCCAGGGAAGAGTCTCCCTCAGGCAGAACCAGACAGCTTCACTGTCTTGCAAATCTCTCAGCTAGACGTCGTGTTTCCATGTACAAAGGCACTATCTTCTGAAAAAAGGCTTAGTGTCCACTGAAGTTAGCCATAACACCCAAAAGCAATTTACATAGGCCGAGCATGAGGTCCACAGAGAATAAAACTATGACATTAGACAACTCCAAGAGTCTGATTCAACCTTCTGATCACACTGACACCATAACCAGATAGCTCTGGGGCATGTATCATTCCCCAATCTTAACTCTCTTGCTCCATCTGAAAGGGAAATTGGGAAATTTGGGTGGGAACAGCAAGCTCCAACATAGAGTTTTGGTAATTTCACTACAAATAGGTGGGCATAATATGCTATCTGGTCTGATCTATTTCCAAATTCAGTCAGTCCTATGCTATAAGCACATGCCCATTCAAGTAAAATTATTTGAAATTACTATTAATTGCAGTGCAATTCTAACATCTCTGAATTTGTCACAAGCCAGCTAGTTTTAAACCGTCCATTTCCTCTATTTTAAAGAATCATTAAATATCTTTCCAGTACATTAAGTGCACAGCAGAGAGCAGTGACAAGAAGTCCTGATATTTTAAGATAAAATAATTTTAAGATGCACAAACAAAAGCATGTTTACTTCAGTCACATTTGTCATGATATATTCCTCAGTATGGTCTTTGCATTTGTACCATGGTAGGAATAGGAACACTTCCAGTATTTCACCATAGAACTGAGTGATTCCAGATCTGTGTGTCCCTGTGGTGGGAAGTCATCTGCATTAATCAAATTGCTGGGGGGAAGAAAAAGGAGGAAATGAAGTGATTTAACCTATGTGGCCCTTCCTAGCATTAGAAGACATATAAATGTTTTAGATCAAATACTCACATTTTCTTCAGCAATTCACTTCAATTGATTTTAATAGTGGAATTGCAGGATGAATTACATAGCACCTATCCTAAGATCACACAAGTAGATGTTCACAAGGTATTTTGAGTTGTATTAGAAATTGTTCAAATACTAGCATGTTTTATAATACCAAAATTATAATAAATTTATCCACTTGTTTGTGATTAAAAGGGTAGTTTCATAGATACAGTTTTGCCTTTCATGAGGTGTTTGTAAACAATCATGCAGCAGCTTACCATAATATTGTTGCTGGACCACTCCACTGACCATGTCCAGGAATGCTTCCACAGACTCTCTGAAGATGATGGGAGGCATGTGCTCCCAGAGCACATCTACACTAGGCTGTGGAGAATAAGGCAAAGAGACATGATCTGATTCTCACTGCACTAACATATGGACATTGGGCCATAAGACCACAGCATCACACCCAATTTTTCTGAGACAGTTAAATAACGCATCTACACTGCCTCTAGGACTAGACATAGAGCTATGTCTTGTCAATATGCCTACTTGAGAAACAACTGATATGAAAGTCAAATGCATGGCGTAAATGTGCCACAGAGATGGGTCTTTCTGGACTCCAGTGAGGTGACTTTGTGGCCCTTCTTCCCATCCTGAGACAATTTTTAGTCCTGACCTTTATAAAAAAAGGTCTTTCAGTCTCCTGAAAAAAATAATGTATATATAAATATATATATTTCTATATTGAATATAAAGTGTCTTGAGGCCAATAATATATACATATAAAAGTGTGTGGGATACAGGCAGGGTCATATGAACTACAAATTGGTATCTCTCTAGATGGCAAGCATTAAACAGACAGGAAAATACACCAGCTATGTTGGATATCATGCTCTTAAACATAGGTTGAATCCCTGCTTTTACATCTTAGTGAACTGAGTTATTTATATTTGAAGCTGTTTATCTGTATCTAAACTTGCAAGCATAACTTGTTTCACTTTGAGAGGTATATAGCATTGTTTCAATTTAAGCAAGCAGATGCTCGGCATCTCTGAAAATAAAATTTATTTATTTATTTATTTATTTATTTATTTTAATGCCATGTAGACTTGAGCAGTTATTGAGCACCACATTTTGTTTTATATCACCATTCCATCCCACACCTCTCCCACAGAGAACATTTTGGAACCATTATGGCATTACTGTCCAAGTTCTGCTGAGTCAACTCATGATTTCAAATATAACTAATTTCTATGTATATTGGCAGTTCATCCAAGTAAGGTACGTAGTTGGTGTCTAAGGACTTCATACTCTTGGGTGAAAGGCTGTGATGGGGTACTTTATCCTCTTTTACTTCTACTTTTTGCATTTTCTTGAAGATGATACTTTTCTCGTTTGGGACATAATTATAATTTAGTATCTGCAGTGGGGTGTATTCTTTAAAGTATTTGCATCCTTGTGTTTTAGCCAGTCATGTACAAAGCAGTAGACACAGAAAAACATAACACAAGAGAGTCAGTTACCAAAAATCACTAGGAATTCAGAAAAGGTCACAGAGACTAAATATAAAGGTTGTGTCAGACTTATGAACTAAAGTAGATACTGTATATTCTAGCTTCATTTGGCACGCATAGTTCATAGTACTTCAACTTGACTTTTTTGCAGCATCATATTTTTTTAATTACAGCAGTGAACTGGATGAGTTAAGTAGCTCCTGATTTCCTTTTTCAATAAGCCCTTCAGACTGAGGGGAAAAGCCTTCTTAAGCCTGCGGCATAACTGTGCTTGCAGCAAGGCTGTGTCTGAATTAGCTAACCTTCCCTAGCTCCCATTGATGGGACCTGTGGGCCAGGGAAGAATGTAAGATGGTTCCTAGTATGCTTTGGAGAAAAAGATAACAACAAAAGGAAGGACATGGCCAGCAAAGCACTTACATTTATCAACACAGCTCAAGATTATTTTTTTTTCTTATTTCTGTTCCCTCTGTCATCTTAATTGTATTTATATTATAAAATGTTATGTGTGTACATGCATATGAACATATATTTCTGTAAGTATGTATACATATATAGTTAAAACTTTACATTGAAATGATTCTTTAACAAGTTCCAAAGTATTCTGTAAAATATTTCATGGGTGCACTATGATATTTTCCCCTTTAAATAAACTTTATCTGTGATTATATATGCATATTTTTTCATGCCACGCTTAAGAAATCTACTTGAAAAAAGTTGGTTAGGTACTATTGTCTTTGAATGATGTTGCACTGCATCCTTAGATTTCAATGCACTTTTTTTTTTAAACTGTGCTTTTTTGTTGTTGTTTTTTATCGTGTCTGTAATAATTATCACTTGTAATGCCTAAATCATCTACAAGAAAATAAACATGATTCAAGCAGACACCTATATGGTGTCGATTAATAATTTTGTTGTACAATCTAAAGATAAAAATCTGCCCTGCCCATTTCTAAGGCCCCAATTTGATCAAATACAAAATGGCTCTAGTTATTCATGGCTGTGGTATTTCAGCCACAGGATTTTTTCAGTATTTACAGTTCTCAACAGTAAACAGCTGCTTCTGGTACAATGAAGTCGAGGAAAAGAAAGGGGAAGAGTTTCATTATTTAGGTTACAGACCATCATAAGGACAGCTATCAACTCCTAGGAGCATTTGTACTTTTGGAAACCGATTTGTGTTTCTAAAATGAATTTTGCAGTATTTACCACAGAAGTATTCGTGCTATAGGGCTTTTTTTCCTAATTCAGTATCTAAATACTTAAATAAGTAAATGAATTCTAAGCCACATTTCTGCCAACCTTACTGTGTATTTCTTCTCTAAAATAGTATTTTCAGGTCTTTTTAACTCTTTTCATATAAAAGAATATTTCAAATGAGTCAATTTTCAATATTTAGAGGGGAATTAACATAACTTAGATAAGCCTTCACCACTTATTTATAGACATATATTACAATATTTTCCTTATGATTTCCTTCCATTCTGCCTTTATGAATTCAAATATCTTGGTTTTTTTTTTTTTTTTTTTTTTTTTTTTTTTTTTTTTTTGCCTGAAGCTGTGTTTAGCAAAGATTTTTTTTTATTATTATTATTATTTTTTCCCCTGAGGTTTCAACAATGGTAGTGACTTAGCCATGCTAAAATAGTCAGTTTGGAAGTCATTCTTTAACATGCTATTCTTTATGCTTTTCCATCCATTGTAAACCCTCATTCATCTCACCCATCCCTTTTTTTCCTTTGCCATTCACATCTGAGGTTAATTAGTACCATACAAGGGTGGTTTCTTGCCACTTTTTCTTACAGGCAACATCTTCTCTTTGGTGTCTTGTGTTCAGTTTTGAGCCCCTCATTACATGAAGAATACTGAGCATGTATGTGCAGAGAGATACAAGGAAGCTGAAGAAGGGACTAGAAAACAAGACTTACGAGGAGTGGCTGAGGGAACTGGGATTGGTTAGTCTGGAGAAGAGGAGGCTCAGGGAGATCGCATAGCTCTCTACAAGTACCTGAAAGGAGGTTGCAGAGAGGAGAGTATCAGTCTCTTTTCTCAGGTGGCAAGTGATAAAATGTGAAGAAACAGCCTAAAGTTGTGCCAGAGGAGGTTTAGTTTGGACATTAGGAGAATTTCTTCACAGAGAATGTAGTTAAGCATTGGAACAAAATGGCTGGAAGAGTAAAGCATTGGAACACAGCTTTTACAAATATTTTACCTGCCTCAGTTACTTAAAGTCCAATTCATTCAGTTATTCTATATCCACTGCTATTTCAAAAAAATACAAAACAATTACTGGAACACAATTCCCATACCTAAAACACTGTCCAGCTTAGACCTTTTTCCACAAGGATTTTACAGACATTCTGTGATTGTATTTTAGTGAGGATTAGACCTCTTAATAGTTTAAAAACCCTCTTATATACAGACATAACCAAATCTCTTCAGTCTTCAGGATTATTTTGATGGATATTCAGACATTTCATAGCTGAATTCACTTGGAAAGGCTTATGCCAAATATCTGTCCCCAAAAATCTACCAGTTTTGTTTCCTTACCTTTTTTTTTTTTTTTTTTTTTTTTTTTTGTCCCAACAGAATCTCTTATAATACTTCACATAAGCAAAATAGGGTTTTATCCATCAGGTCCAGCATTTCTATTTTAATACATGTATTTAAAGAGGGTTTATTTCTCTTTATGTATTTCATTACTTACTCTGGAAATTTATTTTGACCTTTCTTGTGTTCTTCATACATGTTTATTATTGTTATTTATTTTATTTTCCTGTTTATTTTCTACAGTTGATACAATTTTGAAGGATTTCTGCTTGGTTCAATCACTTAAAATTGCTATTTAGCTATGTAAGTTTCTTCCTTGTCTTCCTATTTCTCATTTTGTTCAGCAGTACAATACCTCCTGAGACACCATTACTGTTTCCTTAAGTAGAATAAATGCTATATCTAAGGAGTTTACTTTTCCTTAGGGCATTTTTGATGAGCTCCCTCATTTTATTAAATCTGTCTTTCTGAAGTTTATTGTCATTCTAACACTTTCATATACATAACTTTCTCATGATACAGATTCTAATTATATTGTGATTATCATTGTTTTGTAGCTCTGCTAGCACTACAATTTAAATGAGCGTCTATGTTCTACTTTTATGACTGAAAGAGGTACTCACACCACTTAACCCAGCTAAATTCAGACAATTTCCCTAGGTTCCCAGCATTGTCAATGAAGACAAAAATTCACCTTCAGGAGGTGATTCAGGAAAAATACCACTTGTCAATATGCAAAGCATACACCTCATCTGAGGAAAAGCATTTTAGTCTCCATCCAACTCACCTGGATTACTACTTTCAGCTGTGTGGAGTGTACATGGCCTTTGAGACACACGATCTGCTTCCTCTGAGTGTGTGCACATTCCATGGAGCCAGAAGGGAAACAGACAGGTATTCCTCTTGTTGTTAGAAGGAAAGAAGAATGCAATTTGTTCTAATTAGGTAACTATCAAATAATAATGTTCTCATTTTTAATTGGACTGTCTCTTAAAAAAAATAAATCTGAATAATGTCTTTATATCTTCATAACAACAAGATAAAACCTCATGCTGTCTGGAGTCAAGTTACCCAAGTGCTTTCAAAAGGGAACATGATTTCATTAAATGGGGCACTTTCTCTCTACAATTACCCAAGATGCTACAAGAAATATTGAGTGATTTGAAACTGACATATGTCAAGTATGTTTTTGAAATAACCTTGTATACATATACACATGCACATATACACTTACATCTTCTTGTTTGTTTGTTTTGGGATGACTCCCTGAGGCTGAAGTCTTAAGGAGAATTAGCATTTGTGTCAGCTGCCAGTTGTCTGAGCTGGATGCTTTTTGATTAAACAGAACTGCTACTTATGTTCACATAGTTGAGGAACCATTGCTAGCCACTACTATCCAAAGACAGATGTGTAAGTTTTGACTCATAAAAACTGTATGAAGGAAACTAACAGGACACTAATCTCCTGGTACCTCTTATGACAAAGAGAAAGATTTGAATAAGATATTTAAAGACTACAAAATTTGTTTCCTCTGCAAATGCCTTGCAAAATGTTATAAATAAATCATCAGTTTCATCATTGTTTGACTTTTGGGACCATCGCCATAACCAAACAAAAAGAGCCAAGTCTTGGTACTCTGGGACACTGAAAGCACATATTCATCTGAGACACCAAGCTCCTGTCTGCAGATACAAGCTTCTGGGAACAGGTATTTCATCAACTACTCATTGATGACAATTATGAGATATTTACAATTTGAAAACAATGCAGATAGAGCTCTCTCTATATAAAACTTTAATGAGCAGCATGTTTTGTTGGAAGTGTCATAAAACTTTCATCAAAGTTCAAAATATTCCCAAGAAAACAGCTCTGTCTTTGACAAGAAGATCAGAAATATGCAGTTTAGATCAAACAGTGTGAAGAGGAAGAGAAATGTCGTCTGTTATAATTATTAGGATACGATAATTATACTTTTACAAGCTCAGAAAATTTTTAAAAAGCAGCTCAGTAAACATTGTAAAATCTAGCATTAAGGTTAGCTTTTATAGTTTTCCTTTTAAGGAAGATAAACAAAGCCATAGTAGCTAAAAGCCTAACGATAATAGTAAGACAGAGAATGCCGATTTTTTGGTAATGCAATTTAAAGGGGGACCACAGTCACTAGCAAAAATCACTTGATCTTTTATTTCATTTTGGAATAGTACTTTTTTCCAAGTAGGTAAAATTCCTTAACACCTTGCCCGTAACTGACACTGTAGTATAGGGGCAGGCAGTCCTGAGCTCACTGGACCTTACAGCAGTTCTTCCTAACTGTAAACTTGCAAGAAGTTGGGGTGAAATTGAAATGTGCAGCTCCTCTACCCAATGGCTGCATGAATAATTGAATAAATGGCCCTTACGACTTTTGGGGCATTAAGAGTTCAAGCAAATCAAGGTCAAAACAAGATGTAAGCATTTTAGTATGAGAATAGTTAGGATTTAATTAAAGGGGAAAAAAATCTACAATAATAGATGCACAATATGAAAACAGCCGTAACATGAGAAGACAGAATACAAAAGGAAATCTCATGTAGTCAATAGAAATGTGATTATCTGTGTTCCTTTCAGTCATTGCACTCAGGTTAATGATGAACAAATTCCAAGTTTCATCTTTATGACAAAAATAGTATTTATAGAAGATTTTTAAGGTGTTCTTTTAGCTCTCCCTTCCTACAACCATTACTCATTTTTTTCATCCTCTCTGTTCTGTTTTTTAAATAAATAAATACATACATACATAATATAACATAGCCCCCTGCTCCCCAAAACTGGGGACACTATCCAGGACATTGGTTTCAGATGGTACAAATATACAGGTATTTTGTTGTTGTCATTTTTTGTTTTGTTTATTTATGGTCTTATTTCAAACACAGTCTGTACTTTCTCACTGGTCTCTGAATGGGTTCATGATACACCACCAGTTTGTCATTACATTTCTTCACCCTCCCATTCCTTACCCTTGTCATTGGGGTCAGAGTGCAGCTGGCTCCAGACCCACATGGAATCAGATTTATCACTGATTTAGTGACTCAATGCAAGGCTGGTCAGCTCCTCTACAACCTCTCTGTTTTGAAGGTCACGTTATAGATATCGTGCTTTACTTTAGGACTTTGCTACCCTCAACCACTATAACAGGTCAGGTATTTTGTTTCTGCTTTGTTTTTCTGTGGGTAGCTGCAGCATAGGCCATAAGGAAATTCTTTGTTGTGCTTTATTATACATACCTGGTCTTGTTTTCTACCTTTTGTGTCACCCCCCACAGCACTTAACCAGGATCCCTGCAAGCTGTTGAAGTTTGTGCCTGTTCTGCAGCAGCTCTTGATTCCTGAATTTTTACACAGTTCATATTAGCCTGAAATTCAATTAAAATAGAAACAACCTTGACAAATTCCCACTTTTCTCCCATATATACCTCCTGCTTACTCCTTCCCTAGATAGAATAGATAGCTCAAATGCCATGCTTAGCCCAGCCTCCTTAACTGAAGGTATCAAGGTTTAAACATGCTAATATAAGTACAGATCTCCAGCCCTTTCTTTGAGTATATCCTTTAAATTAAGCCAAGCAATTATGACAGCACCTCCCTCCCACATCAGAAAAAAATACAGAGCTGATATAAGATTTAACTGCACAGCAGCAGCCCCAGGTTTGGCTTCAGTTGCCTTCAGTTGTGGACTTACTTTTAAGAAACAGGTACATGGCAGATGTCTTGGGTTGGTCCTTTAACCTGTAACAAAACACATGAAGGTAGTATTGCCTTTCTAGTAATGAGGTGGTATGCAATATTGTTTAGAGTTGCAAATAAGATCCTGAAAGTTCTCAAACGCCTTTTAAGTTCTCTTTTAGGTACCCTCCTGTTCAAATAAGGATGCTTCTGAGTACTCCTGAATATCAAGGATCTTCACTGTCAGAAGCAAAAGTACCAATTAGGTCACATAATTCCAAGAATTATCTTTGTCATTTAGTCAAAATTCTGGTCTTTGGCAGGTAGCAAGATAAAACTTTATTTTCTCCTTAATGTGAGGATGATGTGGAATTAGGACAGGCTTAAATTCACTTATGCATGTATTGACCAGCGGACACCATTTCAAACTTACTAGCTTTCTACTGGAAATTCAACTATATTTTCATCTCATTCATGTAGGATATCATGATTTGCAGAAGGTAAACTGTGCTGATTCTGGACACTGGACCCGATTATTTTCCCAGGAATTGCTACATTGGTCCTAGAACAGCACATAAATTTTGGTTTCAGGTACTGTCCCTGCTCTTCAGTTTGCCCTTACCAGCTACCTAACCATGCCCTTACCATTCCTAGCCATGCATTACACATGCAAAACAACTTTTCAGCCCAAAAGGCTAGAGGCAGTGAAATAACTTCATAAAATACTGCTTGAGTTGCAGGGCTACTAAAGCACTGCTCAGCTTCCCACTCACATTCAGGAGGTCAGAGGGGTAGGCAGCCCCATGCTGCGGTCAGAACCCCCTGATTTCATTTCATGCTCCCACCACCAGGACTGCAGAACAGATACTGTAGGAGGGAACAGGGTTGTTCATCTTCAAATCATTTCACTTCATCATTGCTCCAGCACAGATGCTTGGAGGATTTTCTGCCACCTGGATGTAAAACAAACTGGTAAATAAATAGGGATATTTCACAACACACCTTTTGATAGGCAACATATTCAGTCTTTCTCTGCACTTCCTGTTGGGATTGCATTCTTAAAAGCTTGTTCCTTTCACTTGTGCTTGTATATCACAGACCTGTGTTTATTCACCATGTATTTATGTAGATATTATGTTCAAAATGCCTGGGTTAACAGCACCAGACAAGCAGTGTAAATCTTTTCCTCATCATGTATCTTCAGCACACAAATTAAAGTAATTGAACTTTTCTGAATGTTGTTGAAGACTTGAGAAACAAGCAGAAGCAGGATAGTGACAGTGCAAGTATTTCAATAAAAATAGTAGGGGTCATTGAGTTAAAGACTGTTGTAGAAAACTACTTGTTAAATGAAGAGAGAGATGAAAATAGATTCATTTAATTATGCACTTGGGTATATAAAAAAAAGGTACTGAACGCTTATTATGAAGAAGTGAAGTTATGCTAGTTAAAAGTTTCTCTCTCCTTCCAGATATCCCTATGCTTCCACACAACAAAGACATTGCCACAGATGCTGGAAATATAACTGTCTGAATAATAAAAATAATGCATTTGTGAGTAAATTATTCAAAGATTGACAGATAAATGTTGAATAAATTATTCACAGAACATTATTTAACAATCTGGAGAGCTGGTCAAATAATGGAAATATATATTTCAGATAATTTATTCAGAGAGTAATGTCAAAATCCTTTGGCTAGTCCATTAGGAATGAATAATTTGACAAGTTATTGATTATAGCTCATTTCTGTATTAAAAGAAAATTCAGCACGAATGCAGCTAAGCAGAAAGATACATAATTGACAATAAAGTGTCATCATCCTGATGATGAAAATCTTTTTTATGCATAGAAATGCATAGTCCATGTTCAAGGATTATTTTGAATGATGCTTACTTACCACATAGGTTTTTAACTTAAGGCACATAAATTAGAGGTGATCACCAGAAGAAGCTAAATAATTAACACATTTGACCCAAGGATTAGTAATTTAGTTAGAAATTCTTATTTTCTAACAGAGAAGATCCACCAAAGTAGAGTTCAGGTTCAACCTCAGCTATCAGCTTTTAGAAGATTTTGATTAATTTTCCTCCGTAACTTCATTAAATTGGCTAACTTTTATACAGGACAGTAAAAGCAAATACAGTCTTTCCATACACATTTTGGACTAGGTTTCCAGGTATCTATCTGTGTTCAAGCAGCTGAGGAAGGAACAAGAAATGATCCTCTTTATACTGCTTCACAAAGACATGTCTTAATAACAGTTTTCCCCAGAAGCAAATTAGTTGAAAAAGGGACAAGGCCACAGTTCACATAGGGAGTGTGCATAATGGAGCTGCCACCTCAAGGTACACTGAAAAGGCACTTAGAAATCAGGTTTTTATGAGTGCTTTTCTTGTGGTAATGTGAATCAGCACTATTTCCTGTACAATACTGTCACATGAAGCCACAGTTCAGCCACCTTAACTTTGAAGAACAGAGAATTACAGATTCAATGTTTTCTTCATCAAAAGCTCTACTTCACCAGCCATAATCTTCTCCTAAGTATCTGTAATGCCAACCGTCTGTAGGAAAGAGCACTCTGCCTCCTAGAGACTAAATGCATGCAATTTTTTTATTTTCTGCTATTCACCTGGCCACATAAGCTAAGACAGTAGACTTTTCCTTGGAAAAACATCCAGTGTATTATCTTCCTGACACATTTTTGTCTTACTTGCACATTTTGGAAGTACGTGGGACCTGCTTCTTCATGTAGTACTCTTCCTGAGAAACATCTCAATATTGATTTAAAATAATATAAAAATAAAAGACCTTACATACATGTATGCGGGTGTAAAGATTTTAACTAGTTTTAAAGCTGGGGGACTGGAATGAGAAACTCTGTATATGAGAAAGCAAAATCCTATGCAAAAGTTAATGATCTGAATTCTTATCATTATGAAAAGGCACCTTGCAGAAGTACCCTCTTTACTTTTTATTCTTTCTTTTCGTAACAATCCCTAGCAATCATAATTAAAGGTGAAGCAGAAATCAGAGATTTTTGTGAATAATTTTCACAGAAAATTAGATTTTGTTAGATGCAGTTGCTATACGCATTGCTGCTGGCAACATGTATCGATGCTTCTAGGTACTGTTTCTTTTGACCTCCATGTGCCCTCTCAGAGGCAGCCTCGTAGTCCTGCTATTACTATACTCACTTTCTTAGATATCCTTTCTACCACTCTTCATGACAACCTCCTCCACAGTTTCTTCGTCCAGTCATGGTGACTTTTTTTTGTTGTTGTTGTTCCTCTCTGAGAGAAGTGGTACATTCCTCAGCATACCTTTACGTGTGATTTAACAACAACATGCTAAAATCCTGTAGCCTTAAATTAGTCATTTCAGCATGCATTTACCTAGCCTCACACTGAAAATATCTCTTCCTGTGCCCTTGATATTGTTAATTATGTCTTCTCTTTTTTGTCAGTACTTACAATGTCATTTTTTGACTTACATGTATTATCTCCATTTTGTATGTGGAAACTGTGAAGCTATCTATAACACTTACGCAATTACTGAAATTCATTATATGTAACTCATTCTTATCCTTTTCCAATCAGAATGGGATTCAGAATAGGGCATGAAAACTTACTCTGCGAAATCTGCTTTAAAGATTGAGAAAAATCAAGCTGATCCTTTTAGGGTCTAACACATGATCACTTTCACCATTCAAGTTAGGAATGTAAGTGTTTGGAAAAGAATCAAACTACTTACCCATTCCACTGGTTTTGTAAGTGATTTTTTTCCATGTTCTCAATGATCTCAAACTGAAAAAGAAAATGGCCTGTTTTCCTGAAGTAGTATCGTGCACTGATTTTGATCATCCAACACTTTCTCTCTGTTATCAGCTGTCCAATGCACTATGTACAAATGTTGAAACATCAAAGCATCATGCCATCTCAAGTGTATTAATATCAATCAGGTTTAAAAGACCTCTCCGAGTTATAAGTCCACACAGAACAGTAACTTCTTAATATTGACACCTGCTATTAACTCAATATGCATTTCAAAATGTATAAAGAAATATTTTTAATGTAACTTATAAAACTGATCCAAGAGGCTCTAGAAAGGATTGACTGCCCCACAGTTAAGACGTCTTCAGCTTTTTTCCTTCTCTCAAATTTCATGAAGTTTAAGGGAAATAGACTAAAATAAACTGACCAAATAAACAACAAATTAAATCCTTCCCAATCCATTGAGAAGTCTAAATAAACATTTCACAATACATGATACATGTGACTGGAGAAGGGCAATGACTTTTGTGCTGGAAAATATTGATTTCTTTTTTTTTTTTTTTTTAATTTATTTATAAGTATATTTTTTCAAGATAAGCCCTAAGGCTGTTTGTGGAGGATTATCATTAATGATATTAGTATCTCACTCCAACAATTTCCCTTTCAACACAAGCTACTGCTGTCTCTAACTCTTTAGCCATAATAAAGTTCTTGCCGTAATTTTATATTTTTTTCCCCAGGTCAAATATTAATTTATCATACTGTTACCAGATCATAGACTTTGATAAAATCAGAATAGATGGGATTAACAACACTTTATTTAGTAAACCAGGCACTGTTAATGAAAGATATAAAGGGGGCAAACATTTTGGACACTGTTGTAGAATTTTAACTCATTTTCCTGTTACCGTAGAAAGCTGTAAAGCTTTGCATTCTTTTGAGGTCAGACTTATAAACCTACAGCTTCCTGGACTGTGACTTCCCTTTCTTGTAAATAGAGGAACTAATTCTTTTTTATTTAAAATTCTTGTTACAATGTCTATCACTCCATGTTATTGTTTATTAGGCCTTCAAGCCTGTTCTGTTTTTTCTGATCTGTACTGGATACAGTTGTCATATTCTTGTTCCATTTGCCATCCTACTTTAGCTAATAGTCAATATTATTGTTATATTAAAACATTTTATTTAGGCATCTTTAATCTCTCTCGTCGTTACAAAGGCTTTATTGCTTCTTTCATAGTTCTTTTAATGGATAAGTTAACTTTGGTACTTGTTACGCATTGCTTTTCTAGCTTGACTTTTGGCAGTTCCATCTGAACCATCCAAGATTCTTTGGTTAGTCCCTTTCTTCACCCACTTTTATATGTTTTCTATTTGCTTCTACCATTCTTTTAGTTTACCGACTTGTAATTTGTAGCGCTTGCCCTGGATTTGGGAGTTTTACACTTTTGACTGAAATGTGATTAAAACTTTCTCCGTTTTTAAACCTTTGACAAACTCAGTTCAGCTGGCTTTCTAAAGTAGGTCTTCTGATTTCTGATAGGCTGCCTCTTTGAAACTAAAAACTTTAAGACCTTGTGGGTTAACCCAGTAAGCAGCTCTCCCTCTGCCCTCCCAGTGGGATAGAGTAGGAAATGTGAAAGGCAAAAGTGAGAAAATTTGTAGGCTGAGATTAAGGCAGTTTAATAGATAAAGCAAAGGTACACTTAGAGGCAAAGTAAAATAAGGAATTCATTCACATCAGCAGGAAAGAAGATACACACTGTAGTTCCCTCCCTCTTTCCCCCAGCCTTTACTACAGAGGATGGCATGGATCATCCTTTGGTCAGTGCAGTCAGCTGCCCTAGCTGTGTCCCCTCACAGATTCTGTGCACTCCCAGCCTCCTCACTGTCAGGACAGCATGAGAAACAGAGAATGCCTTGCTGCTGTGCAAGTGCCGTTCACCAATAGCTAAAACATCAGTGTGTTGTTGACACCGTTTTGGTCACAAATCCAAAACATAGCACCGTATGATCTACCATAAAGAAAATTAACACATCCCAGCACAGACCTTATTTTTTTTTTCCCTCACGCAGTTTATTCTAAACTAAATCAACATGATTATCCCTTTGAATATATTTTTTATGCAGGTAGCATTTCTAGTCTGTCTTTATTACATTATCAAAACCCTTTACTGTCTTAATTGGCTATGGATAAAAATATGCAGCATTATATAGACATCAAACTGTCATAAGATTAATAGCTTGTCACCTGTCATCATTTTTTTTTCTAACAGCAGCTACCATACGTTTCTACAGAAGAACAGCAACTTCTCTTCGTTTTGAAGAACTTCCTAAGAAATAAAAACACGTGCAAAGTAACATTTTCAAAAGTTGTTTCAGAAATTAATGCTGCAAAGGTGAAGCCAAGCTCAGAGTATTAAAGTTTATACACACACACACTCATCACAGTGTGTATGTGTGTGTGTGTGTTTGTGTTTTCAGGAGTAATGAATCACTCCTCTTATAACTGGTGGGAAGCAGTGGATTACCAGAACCCTGAAAATGAAATAATTTGTGGGATTATGAGTATACACACAAACACAAATTTGGAAGGATGCTGAAAAACTTTCAAAAGAGTATTTGATATTGTTGACATTTATGAAGAGCTTGGCATTACTTCAACTTTAGAAGGCTCTTTTGTAGTAGCAAGAAGTGTTTATTGGTTAACAGCATAGTTCCAGGAGGCTCTGGTGGAGATTAGTAGATCTACTGTTTGCATATTATTATTTTTTTAATCTCCATTTACCTCCTGTTGTGGAACAAGTTACCTGTGATACCATGAGTAGAACACGCTGAGACTGCACAGGAGGGGGCTACCTAAACACGTTCTATTTTGAAGTTCACGTTGGGTCAGAGGGCTGGAGCAGACCCCCACTGGTGGTCCAGTTCAAGGAACATATAGCCTTAGAGGCAAATGGAAGAGAAACAGATACAGAAAGCATCATGTAAATCCAGGTTTTACCAGGCTTCAAAGTCAAAATATGGCAATTTCATTCTTGATTCCTCTTTCCTTCCAAAACTGTGATATTACAGTCATAAAAAAAAGAAAAAAAAAAAAGAATAAAAAAGACAATACAGGGACTTCATAATAAGTATGAAGTCTAACTAACAGCTTTAAAAGGATATATAAAAAAAGCTATGTACGCATCAGCATGAAAAATAAAGATTCTTTGATGTGTGTCATCTTTCCATTTTAGCAATTAAAATAGCTTTTGAAGCTCTTTGGCATTTAATTTAAGCCTATAGAGTATAAAATTATGCCTTCCCTTGCAGATAGTCCCATATTTAGCATAAACAAGGTCATAAGGATCAACAGGCTTAGAAAAAAATAGTAATTTAAGTTTTCAAATATTTAAACTTAATTCCCTTTATTTAGGAACTTGCCAAAACTATGACATACAATTGTCCTTTCTTCTTTTTCCTAGCTGCATAATCAGGGCTTGCTGATGCTTGTTAACATCTTTTTACATAAACAGAAACTGAGAGATTAACTCTTTTTCTTTTTTTTCTTTTTTTCTTTTTTTTTTTTTTATATGAAATACACAGAAACAGGAACTCCATATTCTAATAGAAACTCTGTCTAATATGTTGTCTGCAGGACTCCCCACCAGAAACATGTTTTCCTATTAAAAATGTTGTATTCCAGCCTTATTAAGTATTCTGACACCTCTGTACCCGAATTACATCTGTGTATGTCTTAAATATGAGACAACTCAGAATGTATGATTAAATTTTTCATTTGAGTATGCCAATTTAGAGGAACTTTACAAAGCAGACTTTAAAGTATCTGCCATTTCAAAATCATTAGATTATTTTATAAACTTACATCAAGAATTATCTGCATATATAATATGAAATAGGAAATGTAATTATTTCAGTTGCGCATAATCTTCTTCAGTAGCATTCTCCAGTAAAACTTTCAGTCTAGCATATCACTAGATATAATAACAGTCAGAATGCATTTTGACAGCAATAGTATCAGTATGCATCTATTAGATACCACTGATAACTAATGTTTTCCATCATTTCCTTTTCATAGAAAGTTAAGTGCTGTAAACTGTACGCAAAGAAAAAAAAAAACCTTTGTGTTCTAGTTACACACAGAATGAGATTTTCAACAGGAGAAAAAATATATCATGAAAGTATAGTATTTTTAAATCTCATGCACAGATGCACACACACACAAAAATCAAGTTCTTACTTTGCTTCCTAACTACTTTACTATACAGCACTGTATTTAACAGTGGTACCAGCAATGTACTAAATCAGATTTAACTAACAGGTGCTCTCCAGGCTGTGGACAATTACATCATAAAAATGTATTACAGTGTTCACTCTTGGGAGTAAAGATTTTTGCTATAATAGTGAAATGTATTATATGAAGTGGAATTTCTAATGGACTTCAACAGAGCTGGTGGCTTGAATGCATAGTGATATATCAGGGGTACTGCCACAGAAGAAAACCTCATAGGAAGAAGATAATTTACTTAGTAGAAACACTTATGCTTCCCACTGCATACATTTACTACAATAAATCAATTGGACAACATGTTTCCAGTTTGCATTTGCACTAAGCATTTTTAACTGTTAACACTGTGGATTTTTTTTTTCCTTTATGGAGTTTCATTATCCATTCATACTTCTGAAAAATGAGAAAATGGAGGAATATACAAAGCTGGCAGATTTAAATGAGTCTTAGAGAAGTACTTCAGCATCAAAAATGATTAAGACCAAATTGTTTGCAAAACCTTTGCTCTCACCACCGTCAGCAACAAACAGTACTAATAAATGAGTCATGTAAAACCACTTAAACTTAATTCTGGAAAGAAGGGGAAATTTTTCCTATCAAATTCATGTCTGAACTTCTTTTTAGCCAAGTTAACATATTAAGGAACACAGAGTTTGAATTTAGTTTTTGTTTTTAATCCAAATGTTTGTAAATGTGTAAGATAATATTTTCAAGAGATCAGTAGCTTTAGTTCCCTTGTTGAGATTTCCTGTCTTCAGCAAACATTTTAAACACCTAAACATTTTTTTTTATATTCTATGTTTTCAAAAATACACAACATTTCTTTACTTTTAACTGAAATAAATCATTTTAGCAGGCATAATCACCTATTTCCCTGACTTTCAATTATGCCACATTTTGTGCATGCTTGCATTAAATCTTAATATTGCATTGATCTTAAAATTGGGTCTCACGTCAAAATGCAATTCAAAACTATCTTCTCAACAGGTTTCAGTGAACTATCTCCTCTGTACAACTGTCACTATAGCTAGGGTCTAGTATCCCACATCCCTCTTTAATCCTCTGCTTATTGCATACATTTTATATCCATTTTTACCATACTTATATCCTACCATGTCCTTTGTGCTTTATTCGTTCACAATTCTTTATTCCATATAATGTTTTTCTGTTACACCGGACTGTGAGAATTGTGTGGGTTTCCAATATTTTGATTTGTTGTTGTCTGGTACTGTGTCCAATAAGTCATTTCAGGAGGCCTAATGTATGTGGTTGCCAATAATGAACAAGTTACCACCCATTCTCCTAATTATTCTGTAAAAATACAAATGAGAAAATAGAAACTGTTCATCAATATGGAGGACCTAGCAATATTCTCTTAGATTTTACAGCAGGTGTTTCGCAAATATCCACTTACCTCCATGCTAAATGTGTTAAAATAAACTAAACCATTTCATTTTCCAAGTGTTTACCAAGATTTCCACAACTTTGTGTGATAGAGAGGTAAGACAATACCTGACTTTTAGAAATACAATCTAAAGCTGAGTTATAATCTCACACCACAATGCAAACGAGAAACCATAATTCTAAGCATGACCTACCTCTCAGAGAAGCTGTCAGTAGAAACATTAAGACTCCTCCTCAGTCACAGAACATCTATCTGGCATTTGGCGCATACTATCAGCTTGAGTAATTTATATATAAAAAAAAAAAAAAAAAAAAAAGTAAAAGTAGTTTAATGCAAAATGACAGCTAGAAGCCAAAGCAGAATACCAACCTAGTATGACAGTCTCCTCAGCCCAGCACACCTATCGGTGCACTCTCACACCTGACAGATTCAAGTTTAACCAGACTGATTTTAAAGCTATTTCATTATAAGCCATCATTAAGGGTTACTTTCAATTATGTTCACAGAATTCTTGTCTGTCTTTATCAAAGTCTGGTTGTTTTTCTATGTTTTCCTCCTATCTGTGTATTTATAGTAAGCTCCACCTGGCTTGAGGCTATCCTGTCATCAGTCCTCTCCAGCGACGTGGCTCGTACACAGCAGGAGGAATCCAGCACTTGAATGAAATGATCACTTACAGCTTGCTTTTGTTCAGGACTTGCTCAAGCATCTAACAGCTACAATGAGCTGGAGCCTTCTGCTTCAACTGATGTTTTCACAAGTGCGTTTCCTGAAATGGCACAATCACCATTTTTTGTTGTTGTTTGGTTTTTTGTTTGTTTTAGGCAAGACTTGAATACCCAAAGGGTTACCTTGATTTATAATTCATTTACCTCCATGTAATAGTTTGCACTGTTCCAACTATCTCTTGATTAGTCAATGAGAGGCACGTTCAAATAAAAAAAATTGCCTTAGAGTGCTTCAGGAGTCTTGTTTTGCAGAATTTATTTGCTTGGTTTTATTGCCTGGATAAGAATCACAGCATACCAGTTTGTAGAGGAATCTCAAATTTAAAAATGTGTCTGCTGGGTAGGTGGCAACACAGATGTTGCTACTTCAATACAGTGTTAGCAGTTTGGTTTTCTAATCTGTGTATAATATTTATTTTCTAAAAATAGCTCTTGGAGCAGTAAAACAATGCATTAACATCACCAAATTATGTTGATTAGCAGCAATTGAAAACCTGTCCAGTCATTTGGAAAGGAGTGAATAAGTGTCACAAGAACATTTCAAGCAAAACACAAAGGTGTTATAAACAGGATAAAAACACCACAGCATTCTGCAAAACAATGTTACAATATTTTATGTGCTTATGTATATTCCTATTACTTCGCTATTTTTACCATTACTCTATTCATTCCCTTTATTAGCAAATTTCAATTCCTTATCATTATTTAATGCTTACTTCAATAAAAAGTAATTTGAAGAAGAGAATAAAGATAGAAAATATCAGAGTCACAGAAAACTGAAAACATTGTCAGAAAAGAAGCTATTACAGAGTTTTAATTACTTTTTTTTTTTTTTCCCTGCTGCTTTTTCTATTATGGCTTGAGTCTTCTAGTGAGAGCTGAATATTTTTTTCTGATGAATTATTGGCTGTCCTAATATTATTAAATATTGAGTATGCTTTTCATTTCTACATACTATGTTTCATGCAGTCACATGCTAAAATCTTGTAAGGCGGCAAAAATTAAGAAAGATCACTGCAATTGATAGGGACACTCCTTCGCTGTCCCTGTGAGTTTCTGGAAAGGGGAAGGCATCAGTTAGCTGGAATTCTAAAATGCATGTAAATGACTCTTCTGGACATTTTCTCTTTTTTGAAGTGAAAAGGCACATTTCAGAAATGATGTTTTAACATGCTTTTCAAGTGCTCAGAACCTATATTCAGTTCAAATTGGGATTCTTTATATTTTGAAGGAAGCACAGAATGGCTTTCTTGACAATGTATGGCTACATCTCTTTCAAAACACTCTACATAACATGTATTAATTTCAATGTTTTAGCAATTCTCTAAGTTGGGTATCCCTAATTTCTGTATTTGCCAACATTTGTTCAATATCTACTTCCTCTAGTGGAAATAGTTTTCACTTGCTTTGTCTTGAAAAGCTCATTAGTGATATATTCATTAATCTCTAAATCACAAATCATTTTCTTCCTCTGCTCAATTCAGAATCATGCTCAGTTTCTTTCTATGCTCAGGTTTCCTTAGGTCATTTTAAGACAAACCATGATACATAGGTTACAATAGGAACAATAGGCCTAATATTACTGACATTGAAAAATAATGGAAAAATTAAAATATTTACCAGTTTGTAGCATCTTCGTCATTTAAAAATTCAACTAGAAAAGAGTTTGAAGGACTGACTGTTTTCATGAGAGTTACACAACCCAGAAAACACCAGGAAAGTTCAAAATAAAAACTAGAATTTCTTTACTGATAACATGTACACACAACTGGATGAAGAATGATTGCTCTTATTGTATTCATGATGATACCACATACTTGCCATGCCCATGCATTCTACTATACTCAAGGGATGTTATATTCTTACTTATGGTCCAGAAAATTAAGGGAAATCTGTGCCCTTTACGCATTGTACTCTTCTGCTGGAGCTAAAACTCAACGCCAGATGGCAGCTAAAGGTCACACAGTGGTCTGCATACCAAAAATAGAAAATTAAATTTTACTTTGAAAAATGATGATCACAGAAAAAGTCATTGAGTGGAGTCAGCTGTGTAAAAACTAACTTTAAGAGATCTTACCAAAAGCAAATTTTGTCTGTATTATGTATTTTTTTTTTTTTGGGGGGGGGGGGAGGATGGGGGGTAAGAAAAACAAATTGTAAGCAATTGTAATATGAAGAAAATTCCCAATTTTTTTCGAAAAGTTAAAGCACGTGAAGGACAGTCATTATAGAGTGCTTGCTGACCTCATTGCATTTGTTTTGACAATGTCAAAAACAGTAACTGAGAATGAATAAAAAACAGTGCTGGATTTAGCTTGATGTCTCCAGTGTGTTGCAAAATACACATGCATTCAAGAGAAAACATATTAAAAGACACTTATCAATAATAAAATATAATTTTGAAATAAATAAATAAATAAGTATTATATCAAAACAGGATTGGCGGTTGTTCTACAGCTCTTCTCCAATGTCACTCTACAAATACACAGTCTATGCAGAATGCCATGAAAGCTTTCAAATATGGTTTCTACTAGGTTAACACTTCACAGATCTTTCAGAGAAAACAGATACTGATATCTCCAATGGTTAAAATATAATACTCAGGTCAGGTTTCACAGCTGTGAAGAAGTAGCAGCCTCTTAAGTACGCACAACTACCACTATAAAAGTTAAATATAAGTTAAAATCAATACCAAGTATTACACTTGGAAGCAAATGAAGCACTGGAAGCAAATTAAGTTTATGGAGTTCTAATTTAATGTTCACTATGCAATAAGCTCTGCAGAAAGTACGTTAGTACCCAGCCTGGAGGTGACAAAGATAGAGTTGATTTTAGTGAAGTCTATATACAAGACAAATGGTCAAGACTCTCTGGAGACTCAAAGATGAAAGGCTGGGCACTTGGCCACTGCTCCTGCTGTTCAGACAGCTACAGATATCCCCCTAAGAGGAGACGGAAAAAGATAAATGTTATCTCCATTCTTTTAACCAACAACCATGGACATAATCTTTCAAAATTTGATCAGTAAAATCAATGTGTCAGAAAAATATTCATACAGTATTCCCACAAAAATGTGGAAAACTTTTCTTGCCTGCTCCAGTTGATCATCTCCTAAGGAGTCTGGTCTCTCAAGATCTGAAACTTTGGGCCAGCTTCTGCCTCAGGGTCAAGCCTCCCCAGTCTTTCCAGACCTATTCCACAGAGAGAAAACAAAATACAGCAAGACAAAATTACTTTTTGTTCATTTTCTTTGCCAAGATTGGAAACAGAGTATGTTGCCCAGAGGAATCACTTTATGGGTAAGTTGGAAGAAGCCCATACAAAACTCACTAATATAGTTTGAACTTACAGTCCCATATGCGGCTACTTAAATGGTGTTTACTAGAAAGGTAGCATACATGAAATCAAATTCAAGTTTAAAGGAGGGAAGAAAAAAAAAAGGATAACTAAAAGCTAGAATTTATGTCAACAAGAAATTTAAGCAATTCAGTGTCCATCAGTTTTCTAGGAAAAAATAATTAGCATGCCTTCAACAATCTACATATATCAGAGTGAGCAATTCCATCCACCATGTCAGCAATTTCAGTGCAATGGGAATAAAGATAGGGTTGTTTTGATCTCTGCTGTTTAATTTCTGCTGTCCACCTTCATCACAAGAACTACAGAAGAACTAATGAAAAGGAGTAGAAACCATATCCTAAGTTGGCTGATTCTCCATTTATGTTTTGAGTTTAGGGACTCAAAAGTCATGGGATTAAATTTTTGAAACATTCAAGTACCAGGCTTTGAATGGTTGTTGAACAGAATTTTGTACATTTTTTTATTTCCTTTTTTTCTTTCTTCTTTTCTTCGCTTAATACATACAATGGAAATATAAGAATAGAGCATCATAATCTAAGGACTGATTTTTATTTATTTTGCCATGTAATCTTAATATGTCATTTAACTGCCAGGGGAAAAAACATTCTTACTGGGGTCTATGTTCAGTTCTCCAGCTGCTACAGGCACACGCAAAGTGTTATCTCAGTGTGTGCGCACAAGGAATTTCAGTCATTTAAAAACACGCAGTCAGCATGATTGAGTTGTTGCATTAAAAGCTACAAAAGCTCTCCTGTTTCAAACTGTTAATAACATACTAGAGAGTTGAGGCACTATGAAAAGCAATACACACAAAGTCAAACAGCCCGGATAATGGCGAAGAGGAAGCTAACACATAAATAAATTACTTGGGCAGGCAAAGAACAAATCCGCAGAGAGAGGTGGTAACATATTGTCAGAAGACAGCTTCAGGCAAAATAGGTGAAAATCACAAAGAAAAGACATGAGGCACAGAAAGGGAAACAAAATTGCAGAGGAGTAGCAAACGCAAAGGCCTAATAGTTATTCTGACTAGGACAAGTTGACAGCATGCCAAAAGAATTAGGATCTAATCAGTCTGCAGGGCTGAGGACTGTTTGGAAGAAGGAGAATCAGATAAATGGAATATATGAAAAAAAAAAAGGCAAAGGAACAAACCGATTTTGAAGGGAATATTATGTTCCTGCCAAAAGTCTCTTGACAGAGAAAGGGCAAGACAGACAATTTCTGTGGGTACATGACAGCTGCGTCATCATCTCCTCCTCACACGCAGATAAGTCTGCCACCATTTTTAAGACAACCTTTCGAAGATACAGGGCAGTGCTTGTCCGTTGCAAGTAAGTAGACTAAATAATCTGGAATATTAGCAAACACAGGTAACTCTGGACAGCAGTAAAACACAAATGATTTTATAAAACATATGTCACATCACTAAAGGAGGGTAGACTGAAGATGTGTAAATAATAGCCACCTTGCACCTGTGAGATATATTGGGATGCAAAACGCCATCAATCTACACAGTTCTCCACAGTTTCTGATACTAAGTCCTAGTAGAAGCTTCAAATGAAAATTCATTAACTTGTTTTAGTAGCTGTCTTCAGCCACGAATCTGTTGCTTGCTTCATCATGACTTGATATAGATTCTCAGAAAAGCAGGATTAGTATTTTAGACTAGCCCAAAAAAAATGGTAATAATTTTGGAAGAGTAATTGTAAAAGCAATTATTTGGGGATACGAATGACTGCTGAATGGGAATACTATCAGTATGTGCTTAAGTCACAACCTACAACCGGGAATACTGTTGTTGACCATGACAGATAACAAGTCCAGAGTCACCTAAGACACTGAAAGAGCATGCCATAGGCCAGTACTCAGACTCTGAAGGTTGTGTTACCTTTATTTGGGTGCTTAATTATAAATACAAATTCGTGACTGACTGAGCTTTCATTTGTGACTCATTCTTTGTGGCTGTAAGACCAACTACAACATACAAGCCCAGGTTTTTTACTAAACTGTAAAACCACCTCCCATGTGAAGAAGTCACTTTGATCATGTCCATTTTAACTAAATTAAATGACATGTATTTATTTTCCATGGTATATATACTCCATAGTATCTCAGATACTACTCTGTGGTAAACTTAATTACAGAACGTTTCAACAACGAACATTTTAACAACAATAAGTAAAGTAGCATGTTGCTGCAGCCAAGAAGCCCTACAGTACAATATTGCCATAGGTAGGAACAGGCAATAAGCTTCCTACCAAATTTGCACAGCCTCAGGACTGAAACTTGTCAAATCTGCTCTGTCTGAGCTATTTGCAACCTGCTGCAGCTTTGGTTTACTTGTTTCAGCTGCGACTGCAATTTTTCTAATCGACTGGGTGTTTATGGCTAATTTAATTTACTTCTGTTTATCTTCATGTGGTACAACCACGTATTTATACAGACAGCAGTTAAAAGCAGTTGTTCTGTATAGCATGGGATACCTTTGTCTCTAACATGCTGAGACAGTGCAGGGAAACACTGGTCAGGTACAACCACTCGCTTCAGGACCTGAGGACAAAGGACATGTCACAGGGGTGTCCAGGCATGGAATGATAGAGATGGGAAACAGGCACAGAGACCTCACAGACATAGACAACTCATCCATGTCCAATTAAAGAAATGCAGACCTGGAGCAGGTTAAATCTGGCTTTGGGGATAACAAAGAGAAAAAATAAATGGTATCTAACATACATGGAAGTCATCATAAAAAAACAAACAAACAAACAAAAAAAAACATCTGTTAATGGAACTGCAGGCCAATGAAGAAAGAGGAAGGTGCAAAAGTGCATTAGCAAATATATCCAGATGATCCTGAGTGGATTCTGGAGGGAAGAACAGGAAGCCACTGACATGAAAAACTTGGTATTCCTCCCTGCAAAGGACTCCAGATTCTGCCGACTCAACATAACTCTCCAGCACCAGAACCAGCTACAGAAGGGAAGGGGGTAGAAAGTACAGCACCAGGAAAGGGGGTAGAAAGTAAAAAACACATATAATAATATTAACCACGTTATTACTCTGTGTTCTCTATAAAAACTAGATGTGGACTAACAAAGATTAGATTCTGATGACTTCAGTTATAACAATAAATCCTTGGCTTTACCTACCATAAACAACATTTTAAATGTGACATCACATAAGAGATGCAAATTTACAGTTACCTTTCCTATAATTAAAAGTCCTAATGGATTTCATAGTAGGCCTTTCATATAATTACATGAACCACTAAACATTAAGTAATGAGCCTGTGTGTTTCAACTGGTGCCTTAAGTACTGGAAAGTGCCTGTGGACAGATAGTTGGTCTTCCTGAGAAATACCAGACTCATGATGCAGCTAAGCTTATTTAGCAGGGGGAGGACTGACCTGCTTAGTTGAAAAACTTTTCTAGATTTAACTACCCCTTCTGCTACATTTGAGGGAGGCAAGTATCTCCCTGAAATGACTCTTAAAGGAACACTTGAAAGTATAAACAAACAAACATGTTTGTTTGATTGTTTTTATTTTTTATTTTATTCTAAAGGTGTTGCTGAATATTTACTCTGAGTGATATATATAATTTATGGCTGAAAATAGAGGGTGATTTGAACTAGAAAATGTGCCAAAGATCCTATAGTCAGGAAAAAAAAATCTCAGTTTTCTTAGAAAGAAATCTTAGAGAAAGAAAAGAAGAGTCTTATGGATCTTACACTAGTGTTTTAATTTTGAGCTCCAAGGGTGATTCAGTACACATTATGTTTTGAAATCCCTCTGCAGCACATGTTAGTGTGTGCTGTTTTCTGTAAATATGTTTTGCTTTACCTGGCTTCTTAGAAATAATAACATTTACTCTGCAGCTCAGTTTAGGATCCAGCACTGTGAAAAAATAATTTCTATAAAGATTTGCTGCCCATGATCACTTCTTGCTGCCTGGAATTGCCTCCCCTCTGTTTATTGGTTTTGTTTTTTGTTCTGTAACAACATTGTTTGAAATCCTGAAAAGAATGTTTCAAAATCTGGAGTATTTTAGTTTGAAGACCACTGATCTTTAAAATTGCTTTCTGACTCTGATAATCCCAAAGGTTACTGTATTTCTTCTTTCAATGATAATTTCTCAAAATAGGTTAGCCTGAAAGAGTCAGCCACCAAAACCATAGTAGTAGAGACTAATCCTAATCCCACTTCATTTCACCCATTTCGCCAACCCTTGCAGTTTAGTAGATCAACTCCTGAAATAAAAGTTCCTGATATTTATGAAAGAAAAAAAAAAAGTACTTAATTGGTGTTATTTTATGTGGAACCAATAATTGGTAAGAAAATACAAACCCTTTTCATGTTTATGTCAAAGATTTTATTTAAAAATGTCTATATTCATTTTAATATTTACTTTTTAATTGACTACAGTATTCCTCCCAAACCATAGATATCTATCAGTGGGAGCAAGAGAGAAGAAAGGAGAAAAGTGGGTTTAATGTATTTACCGATGTTCTTGGTAATTATCTTACATATCAAATCTGGTTACTGTGTAAATGTTAAATGGATCACCAATTGCAAGC